GGTTGAAAAGACAGACATGAATAGAAACCAGCTTAATGAATTACAACGCTCGATACAAACCCGATTAACAGGTCCAGCACTCGAGAGTTTTGATGTATATCCATTAGCTGGCATGCGGTGCACGGGACAACGCATGAGTCTAGCGGAATCCCAACAGAATCTGCCTAAACGAGGAAGCTTACCCTCGAGTGGAGACGAAGCCGTAAAAGACAGTTTGAGTTGCGGGCAAGTCGTTAGCAACGGAGCAACCTCTACAACTTCACACTCTGTCTCTCTTAACAAGCTATATTCTTGCCTAAAGAAAATGAAAGGTAGAAGAAACGAAGCTGGGCAATACGATGATTTAGCAACGTTTGCCATGAATGGCCGTGAACCTGGTTTCAGAAGGGGTTATTTCCAGAGAGCTTTTGCCTCAAACAATACGAGCCCCGCTCAAACACGCGGTGAACGCGAAGAGATATTTTTGCTCCTTGGCGGCAAATCGAAACCGGTGCGCTTTCAAATCAATCCAGAAGGTCTGAACTTGTTGGAAAAAGAATGGCGCGTTGAACTGAAGTCCAGAGATTCGATATTTTGTCATTCGGACGAGGAAGGTTTGCAACTTTTACAAAAGTTTCGAGCACGTTTTCGAAGCAACCAAAGAACAAATTTCCTGGATAGGAAAACACCACTCTTGCCCGTACCATGGGCACGCCACGTTGTCCATAAAGGACGTAGTTTGAGTCCAGAGGAAAAAGAACAATTGGAAGAGGACGAAAGTGGGCGAAAACTTTCGATTCACGTCTATCTGCCTAATGCTGGATGGGACGAACAAAGAAATTCAACACCTTCGACACCAACGTTTTCACCGAGCAGATGACAGACTATATAAGACGAATACAACAAACCAAATTATTGGAGTTACTGTAATCTGCATGGTCGCTAAAGTTGCAGTTTAGTTTGTATTTCTTATGTCGATGAATTTAATTGAAGTGCCTGTTTTTGCTGGCTAAATATATTTTCATTGGTTTGCAATTGTTTTGACGTTGTTTGAGTCAAAGGTAACATGCTAATTTGGTAAATAAATTCAGTTTGCGCCAAAAATGCTAAAACAACAAAAGGCCAATTTCCAAGGCTTTTGTCGGAACTTATGATCTATCTTTGGTGCAAATTGATTGTAAATTAAATCAAAATAAATGAAATTAGGCAGTTGTTGAAATGCTTCCGAGTCAAATTATTAAAATTCAATTTTACAGGCTTAACAATGTGTGTGTTTTTATTTTTGAAATTATGAAAGACATTTCAGAACAACAAGATAACATAAACATGTTCTGGCAAGATTTATATTACAGGGAGTATTTGATAAATAGCGGTCGTTACAAAACGGGAGCTTGCCGACATATAACTCCGCCGGCTTGAAAAGTGGTTCGCGTGTATCGCGCGCGCATGATTGTGAAAGGAGAGGAAAAAACCCAATTTCTGACGCTTGCGGGCGGTTGTTTTTAAAATTCTCTCGCGATGAACAGGGATTAATTTTCTTTTAGATAGAGCGGATCAAATATAGTTAAACTTCTACGAAAGTGAAGAGGTGAAAAACCGAAAAACATGAAAAATGTAGAATTTTTATCGACTTTCTGTTCCATTCTTTCACTCTTCCATATATAAAGCGGTGTTCTTTTTGCAATGACCGGATCAACTGCACCAACACAACAAAACAGGGAAACATAAAAGACCTGACAATAATTATCTCTCTTGAAAATGAGTTTGATATGGAAACTGATTTGAAAGTTACCGTAATTTTTTCACAGGAAATTAAAAGTAGCTTCGTTTCAAAAAAACATCGATTAGATTTTATCGCTGACACAGTGATATCAGAACGAAGGTTTTAATAAAGCAAAAAATATCAGCTCTTAAAAGGTGGATATCTTCTCTTTTCTCGATGTTGAAATTACGTTGAGAATGGTCGGTCGTTTTTGTGGCGCATTATGTATATGACGTAGCTATGGCCTCAAGTATAAATGACTGTGGGAAAGGACACATTTTGTGGTCTGTGTAGAAAACCTGTTTCTGAACAAAATTAAAAGAAAAAATTGCGGCCGCATTCTTTAAACCGGTTCATTTAAAGTGGCGATATTAATGTCTTTAGCATCATAATTTGAAAGGCGAAATCTTAAGACGAATTGCTCTTCTAAATCTAATGTTATTAGACCTCTTCGCGTGGCTGACGAAGATATTGCTGCCCGTAGGGGTTTCACTGTTCTTTTAGTTAAAAGCGGAAGGTTTTGCGGTTTTCCCGTTTCCTCCGCGTTTCCCATCTCAGGCATCCCTGGATTAATATCCTTCCATGATTCTGATTTCCTTGTTTTGATTTTTGGCAGATGTTTAGGAAACGTTTTCTGACAGTCTCTAGTCTTCACGGGCCGCGCGGGAGTTGCGAATTCGTCGGCCTGCTTGGAATTTCGTCTTGGAAACGTTCTTGTTGTCAAAGGTGGTAACAACAATGGTCGTTTTACACCATTTTTTGTCAAGAAGTTTCTCTTCCCATTGCAGTTTAATCTCTCTTTGTCTGTTCGAGTGTTGTGGAACAACTCCTCTTTGTAGTATTCGCGTAAAGACGAAGGCAAAGACATGTGTTGTTCATCTTGTAACCTTTTTTCCTTTCGCAGATCCGTCGTCTTTGCGACTTTATAGTTCGACGCATCGTCGGCAACTGGGAATCGACCGTTGTGCAATGGCGGGTAAAAGTAAAGTGGTAAAGTGTTTTTTGTTATTTTACCTCGACGGTCTTGAGGTTGATCACTTTCTCGCTTTCTATTCCTAGAGCGTTGCTCCATGTTCTCCTGCGTCCATACTTGTCAATTTGCCGCTGTATGTGTCCAGTATTATTGTTATTAACTAAATAGCGCAGCAGATGTTTTTTCTGGAGGGAACAAAATACATTGAATAAAAATAAAATATTTGCTTTTAAAGACAAACAATCTTGCAGTGTCATGAACTAAGACACAACTAATAAGCAGTTTCTGTCGTCATGAAAAATCTGGTAATCCCTCTGGCAGGAGAGGTTGTTTGAATGTTCTCGACTGGTTATGCTTAAGAGACTTTTAAAACGGTGACTTCAATAATAAACGATAATAACTTCTTTTTAGAGAAGGACACTATAGAATTAAGATTATTCACAGGAATCTCGGAGAAGGAATACAAAAATGCCAATTACATCTTTTCTTCCCATAAGGATATTGTTTTTCCGGCCCAGGCTGAATTTTCTTATTTTCCTACCTATCTTAGGCTGAAAATATTCTTGTGAATATTCTTAGATTATAGTGTATGAAATTTTCGTTTTATTGACTTTGATAGCATTGAAGTAATTTTGTGGCAAGACTGCAGGCAATAAAGCCTAATATGAAACTTATAACTCAGTTCTTGCAGCAATGTTATCAGCATTGAACATGTGGCTAGTACGCGCTGTTTTTGCGGTTGTTTGATGGCTAGTTTGCTGTCTAGATGTCTAGATTAAAGAAAGGAAGAGTTTTAGGTTTACTTTAAAGCATGATATAATTGTGTTGTGTTTACAAATTTTAAATACATAAAATTATATTTTTGTCTCATCTCAGCTTCGTGTTTATATTCTTAAAATTTCGCAAATTTCAACCTTGATACTGCTTATAAAATATATTTTTACAGGAAAGAGAGTGTAAAGGATGCCGAATAACTGTGCCCTTTCGGAAAATGCTCGTTATTGTAGAATTACATCCGAACACTTATCGATCTCTTCCTCCCAGTTTAGATGAGTTTCACTATATCCCTTCGAAGCGGGAGGTTTGTTAGTTACAGTAGTACGTTAACAGACACTCGAACGAAATAAAGTACTGTTGCCAATTTATTATCACAACTACAACAAAATTCGAGGAGAAAACATTAAAGCGACCGAAATCTGTTAAATTAATGAGTTGTGATACTTCCGCTATGGCAAACATGATTTGCGAAAAAATATTTCTGAAAGGTTTTGGCTGCATAAAGAAGGAGTATACAGTCCTAAAATGTATGCTGCTCACTCTTTGATTTGCATGCGAAAAATAGGACGTACTCATCTATTAAAGACTAATAGAATTCGAGAGATTCGTAAGGGTAAAATTCTCTGAAATAGGACAACAAACCCTTAAAATGTATTCAAATTAAATTAGCGTACAATCTCTATCTCTTGTACAGATGATAAACTCGAGGAAATTTCAAGCAAAAATTGTTACAGTATTGAAACATTACAAGCAGTCAGTTGTCAGTTGGTTTTTCGGTTTAGTATATGTAGTCATTATAACTATGGCTTCTCTAAAATTTACATTGTAAATTGAAACGTCTAATTACTATACACGCTGAATTGGACTTACCAACAGCGAAAAAAAAAGTTGTCCACCTCGCGAAAAGGTAGTGAAAAGCACTAAAGCGAACTGAATAAAGACTATTTGTACATCATGTTGATGTTGAAGCGAAATTTCCGCCCAAACAAGTGCGAAGTAAATGTAAAGTCTTTCTCACCTAGTTTAAACAGGTGATGTCGGGCATCAGTCATTGACATCAAATATGTCCACGCGTACGAAAGTCGAAATTTTATCAAGAATACCGACCTCCGTGTTGCTAGGCAGTAAAATATTCTCTGTCTGGCACAGCGGGTTTAGATGCTCTTCACTTCTAGTACCTGCACATTTTGGTTTTTCGTTGATGATTATGGTATTCATAACTTGTTGTTTCTGTTTTGCCACATTTCAGGGAAAATGTTAAGAGAAGCACAGTGATTGGTTGGTGGCATTGGCCAAATGTTTACGTCTTTACACAAAGCTTTTTGCCTTGAACTGTCAAATTGTGGTATTCAGTTTTCTTAGATTAAAAAATTTGAACTAATTTTAATTGTCACCTGTCACATCGCCGTGTCCATAGATCCAAATTACTCGTTTTTACCTCCGTCTTGAATTCTCGAGGCTCACAAGTTTCCAATGCAAGGAAAACGCGAAAAGGCATGCAACGAATAATTTAGAAGTCCACCAGCCTGAGAGCTGGAACGTCGGAACAAGTTATAAACTGTTTATCAGTGACGTGGAATGATATTGTAATCGTTTTAGAAGGATTTTAGGATCATTACAACGAAGTTTAACCAAGTTTAGCGCGAAAATAAGCGAACAGAGGTTGTTGTTATTGTTGTTGAAGACAGAGGCGCAGGAACTAAATCAGCAAAAAATAATTATGATTTAATAATTTCCTATGTAGGGTATTTAAATAGGTTAAATTTGCCCTATCTTGTCACGTGGGCGACAGTGGTGTAACGGTTATCATGGCGGCTTCCCAAGCCGTTGACCCGGGTTCGACTCCCGGCTGTCGCACAATAGATCCTTTTTTTCCAAAGTATTACTTTTTAAAGCTTTTGTGGCATCTCTTTTTCAGTAGTGCAGCGTTCTCTTTCTAATTTTTTGAGGTTATTTGGTGAGAAACTCTCTGATTTGTTTCAATTTTTCAGTAGCAAACACGTAATCTCGGATGTCGGGGAAGGACTGGGCGTAGAAAAACAAGCAATATGGCGGATTCCACTGAGTTGTTTGAGCTGGAAAGCTTCGCCATTAAGAAGGTAGAAATATTTGCTTAATTTGCTCTAGACACAGATTAGCTATTTCCCAAATGTTTTATCTGTCAGGATCGTTTATATGGTACATGATTTCAGGTTCCGCCGAAAGCATACTACATTCCTAATTTCATTTCAGAAGACGAGGAGAGACATCTATTAGATCAGGTGAGTCTTTTTGATTTAAGGACAAATGAAGCTTTAAAGCTTTAACAGCAGGTGAAAAGCCTAAGTGTTTGTTATGACGAGAATGACATAATCCCTAATCGGGCTTTAACAGTGGGTTCTTGTTGTGTGCAAATGATTAGAGATATTAGAAAATTACTTATAAACAATTGATCCTTTGAAAGAGATTTTTCCTCAGTGATCCTGGGGTTAAAAAGACTGTACTTATGTTTTATTTTGTGCATCATTTACTAGGTCAATGGAGCTCCCAAGCCAAAATGGACAAAGCTTTCTGGAAGGCGACTTCAAAACTGGGGTACAATGCAAATGTTTTCACTGTTAAAAACATTAGGCTTATCATAGTTGTATTACCAAGAAATTGCCTCTAAGTTATGCTACCTCATAAGAGGGTTTAACTTGTCTTGCTAAATGCCGTGGCCAATCATGTTTTAAGACTGCATCTGTTCTAAGACATATTTCTCAGCTTGAGTCATCACCATGTTGCTGTGTTAACTTGCTTGCTTAAGTTTCACCATGAGACCAAATAGCCATGCCTCATTCCCATAAGTTAGTTTGTAAAAAAGAAAAGAACTAAACAAAAAAAAGGTGAGCCAAAATATAACAGGAGATAATGTGTTGTTGTAGAATTGGTGCCTCTTAGGGGTGAAAAAAATTCTAGCCACACCCACAAAACAGGATCTTGGTAGTGACCTCTTAGGGGTTCTTTGAAAAATTCCCAATGAGAATCCCCTTCCTTTTTCCATGGGTGTTCCCTTCCCATGGGGAAGAAATTCTTGTAATCAGCTGAAATGGGGCAAGTAATACATATCTAAAAAAAATAATCTTGTCTTAGAAATAATTTGTGAATATTTTCAAACTTTGTTCTCTTTCTATTTTCCAGGTGGCTTACCTCACCCAAAGGTAACCAAACAATACAACCACTTCAGGAAAGGTTGCCCTACAAAACCTTGAAAGTGTACGCGACAATGCTGAGGTTTTATGGGTAGCATTTTCCTTTACTTGATTGATGGTCACGGTCTGT